GCCCTCTTGGTGGACCCCGACTGCCTGCACGGGTGGAGACAGGACCCCTCTGTCTGTAGCTTCTTTTTCTCCTTCTCTCTCGCCACTAAGAAAGCCCCGTGGGCATGGGTCGAGCAAATAAAAGCCATAGGGCACTCGCCGCTAAAAGACTCCCGTGGAAGGATAAGGGAGTCCCAGACGTGAATCCCAGATAAATTCACGTCCCCTGCAGAAGAAAAACTGGGCACCGGTAGGTACTCGTCTACAAGCACACTCACTAGTCATCACTATTATTTAGAGTGGCATCTTAATTTTTTTTCTCTCTTGGTCCTCTGCCTCCTGAAAAAAAAGAGTGTAGTAGATGTTTATATAAATATTGTGTTTGTATAATATATACTATGATTTATGAAAACCTAGGCTACTTGAATATGCTAACAGCTAACTCTGGAGGAAAATTGTGCCCCTTTCACTTCAGACTTAATCCTGTTCTTTAGATCTAAAAGATGTTTTCTGCCTAATGTCTCTTACTTGCTGTTTCAAACTAATATAATATAGGCTAAAAATGTAAAAAGCTGACTCAGGGCAGAAACTGGTCCTTTCTGTTCAGACTCATGCTAGTTCTCACAAACTTCTGTTCTCAAGAATTCTCCAGGTTCAGACTGACCCCCTGACTCTGTGAGAGGAACTGAGAGCAGCTTACATGTTTTAGTGCCTTGGCATACAAGATTTTCTTTGGTTAAAAGAGTTTCCACCTCAAGGGTCAGTCTCCTTGGGTTCCTGACAGGGGGACCTAATCTAAATTGATCATATTAATAAACCTGTAAAAACAGGCATACTGTAATTAATCAGAAAAACAGTTGGAGAGCTGCTCAGGACGCTGACCAGGGCTGTCCACAGTAATGCTTTGGATGTAAATCAGGTGTGCCCATGCAATGTCGACACTGTGCCTTTTGCAGATCTGCGTTGGGTCTCATTCCCAACATGTTTTGTTTCAATTCGGTTTGATGGTACCATTTAACAAATTTCTCTCAGTCTGAGCCTGGCACGGCTCTGTGTAGATAATGTGTAAAAATAACAGTTTTTAAAACTTGTGTTTCTGTGGTCTTTCTCGACAGCACAGTGCTTTGTGGCA